CGATGTGTCCCGGAGGATAGGATTTTTCTTTCCAATTTCGTTTTTAACCTCTCAGCTGAGAAGCTGAGACTTTCTTGTACATTTTGTTTCTTCCTCGTCTGCCACTCTCTATCCAGTGTTCAGAGTTCCAACCCAGCGAATATATCTGGCACTATTTAGCGTTCGTTAGATGGAGTATGCTGAGCGAAACGCCCGTACGTCTACAGTATATTACTGAGACCAATGGCACATACTCATACCACGAACCATATACATACACGTGTCAGTGGTATTATCAAAGTTATCTTTGCATATGTTTATACATACTTGTTACAACAAACAAAACATCCACATCAGACACAATGGGGACAACATTAAACAGGCTATTGAAAAATGCTGGCCGTGCCATGGCTTTAGCGGTCACTGCCGTATTTCAACAGAGGTGCCCGCGTTCAGTCACTTGTAAAGTTATGTGGAATTTGTGTTAGACAAAGTGGCATTGGGCAGGCTTTCTCCCAGTACTTCGGTTTCCTCTGCCAATTCTCATTCCAGCAAATACTCCATCCTCATCTGTTATCCAGGGCTTTTATAATAGGCCAATTAGTGGTCAACATACCAAGTGGACTCATTTCCATCACACCCTAAGAAATTAAAAAACTAAATATGGAAAATTCATCCTAAAAACCATAATATTTTTGGGATTATATTAAAAGGGAGAAATGTAGGTACCTAGGAACAATATTACAAATATAAATTTGACAAGGAAGGATTAGTCATGAATGAATAATATGATAATAAATATAACCCACTTCTATAAATTGCACCAAATAAAAGATAAGCGTCAATAAGGAAGTGGTACAGGATTAAAAAATTATGCAAATCGGGGAGCTTAGAACTATGGTCCAAGTGGAAACGAAGTCGGCTAACGATCCAAAAAGCGCCTGCCAGTTACATTTAAAATACTATGTTGTGATAAATATACATGATCCTGCATTCAAATTCGCCTTTCTGCCTAAGCGTTCTCTTACAGCTTAGAGTGTTCCAGTATCGCATACATCACCTTGAGAAGAGACTTGAAAAAAATACGTACTTTTCGAAGATGGGATAGGATTTCCATTTACTCCCAACGAGAAAATCAACCGAAGATGAAGATGATTTCGTCAGTTACCCGGTTCGAATCTCGGACGGGATACTGTTCATAATGGGTATTTTTCATGATTTATACAAACTCGAAACTAATTGCAAGACAATAAATTCATGTAAATTAAAAACTCCTTTCACAACCTTACCCACTCTTAATAAAGGTAAGGTCTGTAACAAGCAGAGGAGGCCCACAGATTTGTGAGATGTCGAGGCTCCCACATTTTCTAGACAGATGGCTCACAGATGGCGGTGAGGTTGTCAGGCTTAGGCGCCGGCCGCCGTTTACGCCCAGGAAGATTCTTGGTACTCATTTCTGTTAGCGGCCGAGTCGAACCCAGAGCCATAGTGCTGCTGGAAGGATTAGGTCAATTGAAAATCCAATGATATCATCGGTAATCGAACCACCAACTTACCGGTCCAGTGAACAGCAAGAGGGTGATGGATTGATGGGAATTAAATGTTCGCTCTCTCTTTCTCCTGATGGATAGGAGTGAAGTGATATTAATTAACTCGTATAAAATAGACAGTAAGAACGTCTGCAGTACAAGAGATCTAGGTGGCAAAATTATTCGTTTCTCTTTTGTGAACATGGGATTCATTGGGCCAAGTATAGGCTGGCTAGTACCAAAAATAAACATGGAAGTCTAGTAGGATAATAGTTATCCTTCTTACCGACTGAGACCTCGGCAGTGGATGCAGTCATTATGTAGCAATATCCTGACGAAGAAAATAGATGTCATCATAACGCATTTCTGACGTCATAGCGTCTATGTTCACAGCCAATCACACTGAGATGCACATCTCTTCCTTATTTGTCTACTGTAGTTGGTGTGATGTTCATTCAATTTGAATTCCGCTTAGTGATTTTGTAATGGAAGCTCATTTCTCTGCTCAGGAAATGGCCCGACATGCATTTGATGCATGGCCGTACCAATGGAAAGTCTCAGAAGGCGACTCTTCTGAGGAAAGGTTCTCAGTGTCATTGCTGATGGCTACAGAACAACTGCAAGGCAGCTAACAGAGGAAGAATACAAATACACCGACAATTCTCACTCTTAAAAGAATTACAATATTTTCGTGCAGTATAGTTTTGATGTTGAGATTTGTTTGTCAGTTACACACACCACACTCTTGAAGAGCTCGTCTCTGTTCTCATAGTATAATCAAAACCAAAGTGAGTATTATATTACGAATGATGTCCGTAACATAGAATTTCTCCTATTCAAAAATTGAGAGGATTTCTCTCACGGACAAAAATTCCTGAATATCGCGTAGAATTGAAACATCTAAAGACATTCTATCCAGAGGGTTATACTGGACTCAAGAATGAAAATTCTTATCGACGTGCTGCCAGAAGAAAAGGGGCAACTCTGAAAATCTAGACATACGTGGAAGGATAATATTAAAATATATATTGGATAAATAGGAAGGGGGTGGAATGGACTGATTGAGCAGTAGCAGAGAGCTCTTAAACTCGGTGATTTAGTCCCAAAGCGGACTATACCGACCGAGCAACCGCCGCCTGTCGGCGAAGTTTGGTGCCAACTTTAGGGGATAGAGGGTGTCGCGTGGTCAGCGCAACGAATCTCCACGGCCGTTAATTTCGATATTCTAGACCGGAGCCGCCATTTCCTTGAAATAGCTCCTCAAATATCCTCACTGGGCTGAGTGGACCCCGCTCCAGACCCGCCGCTTCTCAGAAAATATCTGGTAGCGCTGGGAATCGAACCCGGACCTCTGGATCTGTAGCCAGGAACGCTGACCACTACACCACAGAAACGGACGAAGAGAGCTCTTAGGAACACTACATTGAATCTCTGGTTTCCATGAAATCTTGGGAAATTCTTTAGTAACCGAGAGATTGGCGTCTTTTCAAAAAAGACCCAGGTTCATGAACTTATTTTTGGGAGGAGGATGAGGCAATGGGTCCTTCTGTACCTAACCATCGGTTATAATAGGTGCTGCTGAGGAGACCTGACACACCACGATTGCATTGTGCTGCCGCACCATCACGCATGGACCTCATTCTTTCTCTGCTAGCCACTGATACATCTTCTAGTAGAGAGAGAAAACCGTTTAACCCGTCTCGGTAGTAGACATCTGTAAGCTGACACGACAAAACAAACCCTCCTACCATTCACCAACAGTACAAAACTGAACTGTTTCTGCAATACATCAAAAGAATTGTCCATTGCCCTCAGGTGGTGGTTGTGAAAATTCAGGATGTGGTCTACCATAACGTGCCTTATTCGAAAACGGCGCCGGCAATACAAAGGGAACCTCAGTACACTGTTGAACAAACCACAAATATTACAGCGTTCCGTATATAATGCCTCATATTTTTTTAAAGAAAACTATAACAGATACAGAAAGCATAATAATACAGTTAAATAGAGCAAGATTTCAGCTACTTACAGTTATTTTTCCACATGATCATCACCATTCTTATGCACTTTTGCCGGCGATTAACAAAAGCCTGTATGCTGCGCCCGGTAAAGTCTGCGCCAGCACTTTCTTACAGCTGCAATGACAGCATCGTTGTCTGGAAAATGTTGCCCACGTAGTCCGTCTTTCATAGGCCCAAAGAGAGAGAAGTCTGAAGGTGCTAAATCGGGGCTATAAGGTGGATGTGGTAGGACAGTCCAGCCAAACTTTGCAATGTGCGCGGTGGTCGCAAAACTGGTATGGGGTCTAGCGTTATCGTGTTGCAAGCGAAAGGTTGTCTGCTTCTCTGGCCTGACTCGGGAAATACGGGCTTTCAGCTTGGTCAGCGTCGTCTTGTAGCGTTCAGAATTGACAGTCCCTGGTCGTTATCTGCTGATCTGTATGGATGAGGCGCTGTTCATTGTGAGGAATGGCAGCTGAGCAGGGACGCCCAGGGTGGCTTGTCGTGCACTTCATTTGCGCCACTCTTGAAACACACTACCCACCACCTCACTGTGCTGACATCCACTGTATCGTCTCCGTACACCTTTAGCAAGTGTCGATGAATGTCAGTGGGTACAATTTGTTCGGCAGTGAGAAATTCAATAACACATCTGTGTTTCATACGCACTTCTATGTCAGACGCCATTTTGGTAGACTGCTCTGCTGTCGCTATCTGTCGCACGACAACCAAACTAACAGTAGATTGGCGGGAAGGTTCAACCTTTACTACAACACCACCAACATCCATCTCAGAAGTTACATATTAACACAAAAAGATAGAGGTATTATTTACGGAACGCCCACAAAGCCTCTATTGCTGGACAATCGTTAGGATTGAGACCTGCACTTGCTGAGCATGGCATGGCATGACATGGCAGAAAATGCTCAAGTATTATTTTCTAGACTAGCATTTGCGCTACAATTAACTCTGTCAGTATTTACTTAGTGCTGACACCTGGATTCTCTTCAATATTATTTATTACACGCATCTCAAAGCCAGGTGTCTTGACGGATCTCTTTCGTCCCCAGTTGACAGCAAGAGGCTTAATTTTTCCAGTCTGCCTACTGTCAATGGCAACATATATGTGTTTTATGGTTTGGATGGCGTCAGTGTGGGAAAGTTTCCTGGTAGTGGCACGCAGCCATCCTACCATTGCCACGTGCACAGGTGCCTAACCATACTGCAATATTCACGATAATACAGTACAAGAATGTAAGAATTTCATTCTATGTACTGAGCAATTCAGTTTTCCAATACAAATTATCAGTACACGTGACCACCACTTTCACTGATAGCTCAGTTTTGAATATGATTAAAAGGTTTACACTGGTTTTTATCGTCTTACGAGAGATATAAGAGCCACCAAAGTTTGGAATGTCACTTCAGTTGTTCACTAAATTTGTTGGGAAATAACTCAGAAAGCGTTTGCATACCAGTGTTTGCATGAACTTGCATTTTTTATTTAGAATGTGCAATTCATCTATTAAATTTGTCTGCACATTTCAGACTCATCATATATACTTTTTCTTCTTGCTTTATACTCTTCAACGTGCAGAAAGCTCAAAGATCTTGGCAATATTTGCTCATGTTGGTAAGAGTCATTTTGATGTGTTCGAGCCGTTGCTTGAAGAACTTGCTGCTAGAGACCACCAGCTTTTGGTGATAAGCTACTTTCCTCAATATCAATTCATCAACAACTACAAGAATATTGATCTGAGAGGAATTTTACAGAATAACAAAACTGCAGGTATTATAAACATAAGAAGTGCCACTTATGGAGGACATGTGAAAAGTGCTTTAAGGTTAGGCGTGTGGGGGAATATGGCATGTGAGAAAACTTTGGAACATCCTTCAGTTCAAAATCTGGTGACATCGGAAGAGAAATTTGATCTGATCATAACAGAACTGTTCAACACGGACTGTTTTTTGGCATTTGCTCACAAATTTAATATTCCCACAATAGCATTCAGTTCGTCTGACCTCATGCCTTGGGCTAATAGTAGATTTGGAAATCCTGACAATCCGTCTCATGTCCCTCTATATTCCGGTCAATCAACCGGCAAGATGATTTTTTCTGAAAGATTGTTGAATACATTCTGGTATTTATTTCATAAGCTACATCATTTATTCCTAATGGAAGCACGGGCTAATAAATTCGCAAGGAAACATTTCGGTGAATCCCTACCAGCCCTGTCTCAGCTAGCCCGGAACACAAGCCTCATCTTCGTCAACAGACATTTCAGTCTCAACGGACCCCGTCCATTGGTCCCTGGGGTCATTGAGGTGGCAGGGATACACATGAAGCCGGTCAAAAAACTACCGGAGGTAAGGTTGTTTAGTCATTTGCTATACCGAAATTATATAGGTCAGTGTCCATTATGTATAATGCACCTAATATATACAATGCTTTCGGAGTTGATCACTTCCATGATCTGGTCGTTTCCATAAAAATTTGAAATTTAAATTTTATCGTGTCTCATTTCGACTACGCTGTCACATATCGATAATAAACACACTAATATATAAGTATCTCTTGATGGGTAAATAAAACAAATAAAAATAGATTAATTTCTTCATCAATTGAATGACGGTCAGATTGTGAAGAAGAATTATGCTCCATTGACTTGTCTCATCGAAATCTTGGACAGGGTGGAAACATGCCGTTATCAGGGAAATATAAGGCACATATTTGTGGGAATCTAAGACAACTGAGTGCAAGGACTATGAAAGTCAGCCGAATTCAGGCATTCAATGATTGAACTAGTTTCAACTCAAATCTGGGTGTTCAAAATTTGTTTATTTTAATTTAGAACAAGTAGTGTTTTTCTTCTAAGATGATTTTTTTCCGGTATTCGTTTACTGGGTTTAACCTCCACAGTTGGACGTAGAATATACCGGCAGATGTGCGACAAGTTTGCCGGTGCACAGCAGTTGCGTAATGGTATGCACCCCGGCGTGTGCTAGGCTAAAGAGCAATTGGTTTAGCATTCTACAAACAAATACGACTGACATGGAGAACAGTGAGGAAAATCAAGAAAGAGCAAATGAACTCGAGCATAATAATGGGATTCAGCAGTGACAGGGAGATCCAGCAAATTATGCACCTGTTACACACTTTGTAGTATAACTCGTTTGCACACCGAAAATACGAGATTTTGAGTTGTAAACAAATCTTATAAATAGGATATTCAGTTTCGATTATTTTTAAGTAATTTAATGCTATCTCATACAAAACACTGCACTAATTTTTTTAGTCTACCGAATGATGTGACGTCAGATTTTGAGAATTAAGACATCCTGTTTATACCAAGTGTTTCCTTTGTTGGCACCATCAGTCCGCTTCAGTCTCTATGCACTGTCACACTATTACACTTAACGTCTAGTATAGCCTTATATAGCGATCCGGAATAGCGCAGTCAGTATAGCCACTGGCTACGGCCTGGAAGACCAAAGGGTCGTAGTTCAAGTCTCCGTGGAGGTAAGAATTTTCGTTTCTGCATATTACCCAGATTGGATCTGTGGTCTATGAAACTAACAAACCTCCTATGGGTATTGGAGGCTCTTTCCCCGGGGGTAAAGCGGCCTGGACCTGAAGCTGACTACTCATCTTCAACTAGTGCCGAGGTCAATAAAACGTGGGTTTATACAACCACTCCCCCGTACGTATTTATGGCGTAGTGTTTTACCTTTCTATAGCTTTATATCTGAAAGTCTTATTCCGTTAACAACCGAAATGTTATCAGCGGGTTGAGGAATGGATAATAATTCACAATTACGAGCAAGTTTGTTTTATATGCAACAGATGAGCACTTTACGTCCATCAACACTACATAACACAGTAGATTGTACAGCGTCTTCACATAATAAGAACGATCAAAATCTGAGCTCTATAATGTATATTCTGCCATGCTTTTTCGTCATTGTTTGGTATAGGGTGTATGTAAGGGTTTGGGGCTAGGTTGGCGAAAAAAAGTGAGATGAAAAAATCGGTCTCTTCTGCCATGAGGCTTGATAAATTTCATTCATTCCATTAGCAATACTGGACCCAGAGATGGGTTCGAAAGCTAGCACCATTCAATGTAGTGTCCTGAATTGCTGCTCAAAGACTGTCGTTAAAATATGCAGAATCTGAAGAAAATTTTCCTTTTAGAATAATATCGTATTATGTTGGCGACAACTAGCGAGACGCACCTAAATAACGTTTTGTGTGTCGAAGTCAAATACATGGCGTACTGTGAAATTTTAAATAAATAACTGACAAGTCTGAAGAAGCCTATCAAGACTGTATTAATCAGAGTAATTATTCCTTCACGACAGTCGTATTTATTACTCAATTAGTTAATATCTTGCTCCTGCAGAATGCCGTCTTCTGGGACGTGGCGCCTTGTAGATATTATGTCAACCGGCGTTTCGGAGAAACACATCGCCTCCATCTTAAAGATAAAAGAAATTTGCGAAACGTTGGTTAACACAAGTTCTACACGGCACCACATCCCAGAAGTCGACATTCTTCATAGTCACCGCCTTGAAAGCCTCAAATCTTGCATGTTTATCCAGATCTTGACGCCATTCACTGAACAATTTAGTGATATGGGAAGAGGAAACTGCATTATCACATCAGAACGCTGAGAACCTAAGCATGAAACTTCTAGAACTCTAGTCGTTTTATCCTGCAAAAATATGATCTTCAGTACCAAGATTATATCTCGAGTTATATATGTCACCCTCCTACTACTCGCTTCTTAAATATACAATTTTCTTTGTTAACAAAGGGAATCTAGGGACATGCACAGTAAACGTCTCGGCATGTTGGTCATCATTCCTGCGTCGCATGTAGGAGGTCGTGGTTACAAATCTCGGTCAGGAGACCAACTATCTTCATTGATTTTCTTCGTGGTTTTCCTCAATTATTCTTGTCCCAAAAGAATGGTAACTGAAATTAGTCCACAGTCGCTTCGTTCCACAGCATATCAGCTGTTCATTAATCTTCAANTGGTAGTGAATGACACAGGTCTGCAACCAAAAAAACTGCATAGGATATCTTTTTACTGTTTCTTATAGATTTTTACTTACTAAACCGGAAATAATAGTAAAAAATCCACCATGTTATTTTTTTTTTGCAAAACTCATATTTTTAGTTTAATTTTGCGTGAAATTTCTCTTCAACATGAAATCTTGTATCCTATTGTTGATTCTAAAAACCACATCCAATAATTATTTCTTACTTTAAAATAATATTTACAAGAGCGAATCTAAAAAATAATACAAATAGAAAATGGGTGGGATGGGGGGGGCAGTGGAAGGGGTTGGTAGGGTTGGTTTGGCGGTGTGAGGAGCTCAGGCGATCATGTCCCAACACGTTTACTTTGTTTGTAGCGAAAGGTGAGGA